GCTGCTCGGTTTTGTAGTTTCTGGAGTTGATTGACTAAGGTCTTTCCAGACGTCCCCTATACGACGTTAAAATAGTCAAAGTGAGGTTGTATTAGAGCTTGATAGATAAATTATAATGTTTTTGATGAAACAACAGACCTCAAACGCTTAATAACGGCGATACCAGAAGCTACTTTTTTAGTTTTTGTCGATATGGTAACTCCAGGTTAGGTTCACATTAATTAAGACATCAAGAAATTTTTTTTAAAGACTCTTGCGATTAGAACGCTATTAAATTTTAATTTTGACTATGCAATTTGAATTTTCACGCAGTTGTCATGATGAATACAACTCACTCGAAATGTAAACACAAGCGGAACAAAGAACCAAACAATTAATATTTTATTTCTTTTGTGCGAGGAGATAGAAAAGAATAGAATAACGTCCACTTTTTGTGGATTTGCTCGCAATGAATATTTGAATGCGAGCTTATACAGTTTAAACGTTTGACCATATAAAATTATATGCATGAGACTATTAATCAGTCATCACGTTCAGCAATTGTTGCCATAACAACGTAAATATTGTGGACTACATAATTTGTTACTAATTTAATCAAAGGACATTTTGCTACATCATCGGGGTTATAACATTCAGTTTCAACAAAAGATTGTATGAGGAATATTTCTTTTTACCCAATCGAAAAATGCTGTTTGGGGTTGATTTTAAAAACGACTTTTTTAAAGTCTACTTTTTTTGCAAAGCCCCCTCCAGACGTACTTATAATATTCAATTACGCAGACTTTACGTTTACGTTAAAGGAAAATGATGTCCGGTAAAAAAAGTTATTCGCGCCAGTTAATCTCAAGTCGAAGTTAAAATGAAGCGGAAAGCACTTCCTAATATGCAATAACTTATATAACTATTTCGTTTTATTTAACTACTTTTTTCGCTTTTTTAATTAACTCAAAACCGAACAAGTTACTATCGAAACTGAATGCAAGATTACTACGAACTCGATTTTTTTTCACGCGTGATATGTTCACGTTTCTCGGGGGAAACTATGAAGTTTCTAAAGTCAAACCTTTCATTGTTGCTATTCTATGATGAATGTCATTTTTCAGTGTGATCTATGGAAAGGTCGATTATGCATTTTAGTATAATAGAGCGTATCCTCGTTGATTTATAAACCGTAAGAACTATCCCTTTCAGAACTTTGCTTTAGAGACAACATTCTCCCTAACCGCATTATATTTAATGCTCGGCGTTATACGACTGTTCATAAACTGTCAAATAAGAGACGTTGATATTTATTATGCAGCTTGCACTTGAATATTTTTTTTGCTGTTGAGTGTTTATGATAAGAATAAGAATAATTTATTTGCTAGCATGCATATCAGTATTTTGCTGCTGTTCTAGGCAAACCAACGGTTCAAAGTCCTGAAATAATTTCCAATAATCTTATAACCAGAGTTGTGGTAAGTTATTTTACACCTTAAAATTTATTTCCATGTGACCAAAATTTTTTGTTAATTTCGGAGTTTATAAGTTATAAATGCCCTTAATGATCGAAGGATTACTAACAAGTGGGTTTTCTGTGCAAAACAATACAAATACACACGCGCGCTTTTTTTTTGTGGGAGAAGGGGTTTGGAGAAAGCACTCCTATTGGATGTAATTCCTTGTGGTCAATCTCTCATCCCAAAGACTCGTTCTTAAATGGCCGTTAAATCGTTGTCCTGGGGTTTATATTCTCCCAATTAGGACTCCCATGATGTGATGTACACACGCTACATACCATGAAAGAGGTAGCTAGCCTCTAAGACATCAACCTGAAACATTCAAAATAAAGTGTTGAAGATAACCCAACTTTGAGAAACCTGTCAAAGTCTAAAATGCATCTCATTGAATAGCTGAGTTATAGAGTTTAAATTTTCACACAGTTGCAATGCTGAAAATAGCTAAAGACAACAGTTACGGTGGGAGGGAAACGCGATAAATTGATCTATTTATTGGATTTCCCCCCACCGTGGAATAAGCGTATAAATAGATTCTGTTATTCGCAGGCTACTTGATTCCTTAAATTGCTTTCAGAGATGAGAGATTAGTGAGCAACTTGATGTTAAACAATTAGCTCTGTCCGTGAAGTCAACTACTAACCCAGGCCTTGGTAAATCTTCTTCATGCACCTAATCCATGCTGGACTAGACCGGCATCGATCAATGGGTTACCCGCTCAACCGCCGATAAGCGTTTTCTAATATTTTAAAAAAGATGAGGTTTCCTTAGGCGAAGTGACCCGCGGATAGTTCCCTCAAAATTTCGTATAAATTCCTGTTTTATTTCGCTAATTTAATGTCTTTCGATGTTGTTTAAAAATGTGGAAACTTCAGGCTAATGTTGTGCAAGCATCTGTGATTATTAGGCTGTAGATTTTGTGGCATTTTTACCGGTAATTTCGCGGATAATTAATTTCTACATTTACGAAACTATAACTGTAATGTTTTAAGCATGCGCGCAAGTATCACACGCGCAGTCAAAGTCTGGGCTGCCTATGTCTGTACTTGAAGATTTTGTTGAAATTTTAACAGTTACCTAAGCTGGTAGGGTCTTTAAACGCCTGCAGAAAACGAGTGATATCACCTCCAATGTTGTGACTATATTTTGTACGAAATGATGAAAATATTTGCTATCGACGCTTTGCCATTGAGTCATTCCATATATAAACTTATAGTTATAGCTAATCTAGGCCAGGAGATTATTTTTATAGTTAAAATAGCGAGGGGTGCTGATTTCATGTATTGCTAGTCATAAAATAAAACAAGTAATATTTTTATCAATATGATTTATGTGTTTTGACGTGCTTTTGTTAAATAATATATAAATTAACACACATCTTTGCATAACACGTTTTTTGCTAAAAAGGAATAGTAGTATTTATTTATGAGCAGCTGCCAATGTCAGAGTTTAAATATTTGTTCACATACAGCACTTGAGACAAGTGAAATGAATGAAATTATTTTTTATTGCCGTAGCTATATTGTCAAGAAAAATTCAAAATAAAGTGTTGAAGATAACCCATCTTTGACAAGACTGTCAAAGGCTAAATTACATCCATTGAATGGCTGACTGAACTGAACTGAACTTTAATTATCCACGGTGGATTCATCAGGGTTACAAATTGTAGCTACATGCATATAAACTATAGTTATATACACACTAAAATATATAATACAAACACAAATGAACATGTTTTCCACGAATGCCGTGTTTATCGAATATAACGTTTCAACAATTTTTAATTCATTTACATTCTGCTTGTCTGATATTAGTAGGTAGGCTGTTCCACAAGACCGCACCACTATAACTAAAGCAGTTTTCAGATAATTGGTGCGGGGTAATGGAACAGCAAGTTTGTTCACAGAGTCTCTGAGTGAATATTTAGTTACATCGTTATGATTTATAAATTTGGAATGTAGACATTCAGGAGTGAGACCGTGTGTAGACTTATAAACCATCAACGCTTTCTGAATTTAGCGTTGCGTATTTAGATTGTCCCATCCTAAAATTTCCATTATATGTCCTGCATCCGCGTCAAAGTTTGAAAAGGTTAATACTCAAGCTGCTCGGTTTTGTAGTTTCTGGAGTTGATTGACTAAGGTCTTTCCAGACGTCCCCTATACGACGTTAAAATAGTCAAAGTGAGGTTGTATTAGAGCTTGATAGATAAATTATAATGTTTTTGATGAAACAACAGACCTCAAACGCTTAATAACGGCGATACCAGAAGCTACTTTTTTAGTTGTTTTGTCGATATGGTAACTCCAGGTTAGGTTCACATTAATTAAGACATCAAGAAATTTTGTTTTAAAGACTCTTGCGATTAGAACGCTATTAAATTTTTAATTTTGACATATGCAATTTGAATTTTCACGCAGTTGTCATGATGAATACAACTCACTCGAAATGTAAACACAAGCGGAACAAAGAACCAAACAATTAATATTTTATTTCTTTTGTGCGAGGAGATAGAAAAGAATAGAAATAACGTCCACTTTTTGTGGATTTGCTCGCAATGAATATTTGAATGCGAGCTTATACAGTTTAAACGTTTGACCATATAAAATTATATGCATGAGACTATTAATCAGTCATCACGTTCAGCAATTGTTGCCATAACAACGTAAATATTGTGGACTACATAATTTGTTACTAATTTAATCAAAGGACATTTTGCTACATCATCGGGGTTATAACATTCAGTTTCAACAAAAGATTGTATGAGGAATATTTCTTTTTACCCAATCGAAAAATGCTGTTTGGGGTTGATTTTAAAAACGACTTTTTTAAAGTCTACTTTTTTTGCAAAGCCCCCTCCAGACGTACTTATAATATTCAATTACGCAGACTTTAACGTTTACGTTAAAGGAAAATGATGTCCGGTAAAAAAAGTTATTCGCGCCAGTTAATCTCAAGTCGAAGTTAAAATGAAGCGGAAAGCACTTCCTAACATGCAATAACTTATATAACTATTTCGTTTTATTTAACTACTTTTTTCGCTTTTTTAATTAACTCAAAACCGAACAAGTTACTATCGAAACTGAATGCAAGATTACTACGAACTCGATTTTTTTCACGCGTGATATGTTCACGTTTCTCGGGGGAAACTATGAAGTTTCTAAAGTCAAACCTTTCATTGTTGCTATTCTATGATGAATGTCATTTTTCAGTGTGATCTATGGAAAGGTCGATTATGCATTTTAGTATAATAGAGCGTATCCTCGTTGATTTATAAACCGTAAGAACTATCCCTTTCAGAACTTTGCTTTAGAGACAACATTCTCCCTAACCGCATTATATTTAATGCTCGGCGTTATACGACTGTTCATAAACTGTCAAATAAGAGACGTTGATGCTTATTATGCAGCTTGCACTTGAATAATTTTTTGCTGTTGAGTGTTTATAATAAGAATAAGAATAATTTATTTGCTAGCATGCATATCAGTATTTTGCTGCTGTTCTAGGCAAACCAACGGTTCAAAGTCCTGAAATAATTTCCAATAATCTTATAACCAGAGTTGTGGTAAGTATTTTAACCTTAAAATTTTTCCATGTGACCAAAATTTTTTGTTAATTTCGGAGTTTATAAGTTATAAATGCCCTTAATGATCGAAGGATTACTAACAAGTGGGTTTTCTGTGCAAAACAATACAAATACACACGCGCGCTTTTTTTTTGTGGGAGAAGGGGTTTGGAGAAAGCACTCCTATTGGATGTAATTCCTTGTGGTCAATCTCTCATCCCAAAGACTCGTTCTTAAATGGCCGTTAAATCGTTGTCCTGGGGTTTATATTCTCCCAATTAGGACTCCCATGATGTGATGTACACACGCTACATACCATGAAAGAGGTAGCTAGCCTCTAAGACATCAACCTGAAACATTCAAAATAAAGTGTTGAAGATAACCCAACTTTGAGAAACCTGTCAAAGTCTAAAATGCATCTCATTGAATAGCTGAGTTATAGAGTTTAAATTTTCACACAGTTGCAATGCTGAAAATAGCTAAAGACAACAGTTACGGTGGGAGGGAAACGCGATAAATTGATCTATTTATTGGATTTCCCCCCACCGTGGAATAAGCGTATAAATAGATTCTGTTATTCGCAGGCTACTTGATTCCTTAAATTGCTTTCAGAGATGAGAGATTAGTGAGCAACTTGATGTTAAACAATTAGCTCTGTCCGTGAAGTCAACTACTAACCCAGGCCTTGGTAAATCTTCTTCATGCACCTAATCCATGCTGGACTAGACCGGCATCGATCAATGGGTTACCCGCTCAACCGCCGATAAGCGTTTTCTAATATTTTAAAAAAGATGACGTTTCCTTAGGCGAAGTGACCCGCTGATAGTTTCCCCAAAATTTCGTATGAATTCCTGATTTATTTCGCCAATTTGATGTCTTTCGATGTTGTTTAAAAACATGGAAACTTCAGGCTAATGTTGTGCAAACATCTGTGATTATTAGGCTGTAGATCTTATGTGGCATTTCTTCAGGTAATTTCGCGGATAATTAATTTTTACATTTACGAAACTATAACTGTAATGTTTTAGGCATGCAAGCAAGTATCACACGCGCAGTCAAAGTCTGGGCTGCCTATGTCTGTATTTAAAGATTTTGTTGAAATTTTAACGGTTACCTAAGCTGGTAGGGTCTATATAAACGCCTGTAGAAAGCGAGTGATATCACTTTGAATGTTGTGAATATATTTTGTATACGAAATGATGAAAATATAGGCTATCGACGCATAATATAAACTTATAGTTATAGCTATAATCTAAGCCTAGGATATTATTTTCTTGGTTTAAAATGGCGAGGGGTGCTGCGTTTCATGTATTGCTAGTCATAAAATAAAACAAGTATTATTTTTATCAATATAATTTACTGATGTGTTTTGAGGTGCTTTTGTTAAATAACATATGAATTAACACACACACATCTTTGCATTAACACATTTTTTGCTAAAAAGGAACAGTATAATTTATTTATAAGCAGCTGCCAGTGTCAGAGTTTAAATATTTGCTCATACATACAGCACTTGAGACAAGTGAAATGAATGAAATTATTTTTTATTGCCGTAGCTATATTGTCAAGAAAAATTCAAAATAAAGTGTTGAAGATAACCCAACTTTGACAAGACTGTCAAAGGCTAAATTGCATCTCATTGAATGGCTGACTGAACTGAACTGAACTTTATTTATCCACGGTGGATTCATCAGGGTTACAAATTGTAGCTACATGCAATTAAACTATAAATATATACACACTAAAATATATAATACAAATACAAATGATCCTGTTTTCCATGAATGCCGTGTTTATCGAATATAACGTTTCAACAATTTTGAAATTCATTTAGGGATTCTGCTTGTCTGATATTAGTAGGTAGGCTGTTCCACAAGACCGCGCCACTATAACTAAAGTTGTTAATAAGATAAATGGTGCGGGGTATTGGAACAGCAAACTTGTTCACAGAGTCACAGTCTGAGTGAACAGTTAGTTACATCGTTACGATTTATAAATTTGGAATGTAAATATTCAGGAGTGAGACCGTGTGTAGACTTATAAACCATCAACGCTTTCTGAATTTGGCGTTGCGTATTTAGATTGTCCCATCCTAAAATTTCCATTATATGTTCTGCATCCGCGTCAAAGTTTGAAAGGGTTAATACTCGAGCTGCTCGGTTTTGAAGTTTCTGGAGTTGATTAGCTAAGGTCTTTCCACAGTTCCCCCTTATACGACGTCACAATAGTCAAAGTGAGGTTGTATTAGAGCTTGATAGATAAATTATAATGTTTCTGATGAAACAACAGACCTCAAACGCTTAATAACGCCGATACCAGAAGCTACTTTTTTAGTTATTTTGTCGATATGGTAACTCAAGGTTAGGTTCTCATTAATTAAGACATCAAGAGATTTTGTTTAAAGACTGTTTTGATTGGAACACTATTAAATTTTAAATTTTGACTGATACAATTTAAATTTTCACGCAGTTGTCATGATGAATACAACTCACTCGAAATGTAAACGCAATCGGGACAAAGAACCAAACAATTAATATTTTATTTATTTTGTGCGAGGAGATAGAAAAGAATAGAGATAACGTTCTAAAACCACTTTTTGTGGATTTGCTCGCAATGAATATTTGAATGCGAGCTTATACAGTTTAAACGTTTGACCATATATATGAGACCAATAATCAGTCATCACGTTCTGCAATTGTTGCCATGCATAACAACGTAAATATTGTGTACTACATAATTTGTTGCTGCATGGCTTAATCAAAGGACATTTTGCTACATCATCGGGGATATAACATTCAGTCTCAAAAAAGATTGTACGAGGAATATTTCTTTTTACCTAATCGAAAAATGCTGTTTGGAGTTGATTTTGAGAACAATTTTCTTAAAGTTTACCTTTTTTGCAAAGCCCCCTCCAGACGTACTTATAATATTCAATTACGCAGACTTTAACGTTTACGTTAACGGAAAATGATGACCTGTAAAAAAAGTTATTCGCACCATTTAATCTCAAGTCGAAGTTAAAATAAAGCGGAAAGCACTTCCTAACATGCAATAACTTATATCACTATTTAGCTTTATTTAACTACTTTTTTCGCTTTTTTAATTAACTCAAAACCGAACAAGTTATTATCGAAAACTGAATGCAAGTTTACTACGAACTCCATTTTTTTTCACGCGTGATATGTACACGTTTCTCGGGGGAAACTATGAAGTTTCTAAAGTCAAACCTTTCATTGTTGCTATTTTATGATGAATGTCATTTTTCAGAGTGATCTATGGAAAGGTCGATTATGCATTTTAGTATAATAGAGCGTATCCTCGTTGATTTATAAACCGTAAAAACTATCCTTTTCAGAACTTTGCTTTAGAGACAACATTCTCCCTAACCGCATTATATTTAATGCTCAGCGCTATACGACTGTTCATAAACTGTCAAATAAGAGACGTTGATGCTTATTATGCAGCTTGCACTTAAATAATTTATTTGCTGTTGAGTGTTTATAATAAGAATAAGAATAATTTATTTGCTAGCATGCATATCAGTATTTTGCTGCTGTTCTAGGCAAACCAACTGTTCAAAGTCCTGAAATAATTTCCATTCAATAATCTTATAACCAGAGTTGTGGTAAGTAATTTTACACATTAAAATTTACTCCCATGTGACCAAAATTTTTTGTTAATTTGGGAGTTTATAGGTTATAGATTCCCTTAATGATCAAAGGATTACTAACAAGTGGGTTTTTTGCGCAAAACAATACACATACACACGCGCGCTTTTTTTTGTGGGAGAAGGGGTTTTGGGGAAGCACTCCTATTGGATGTAATTCCCTGTGGTCAATCTCTCATCCCAAAGACTCGTTCTTAAATGGCCGTTACTGAATTTCATGAACTAAACTGAACTGAACTGAACTTTATTTATCCACGGTGGATTCATCAGGGTTACAAATTATAGCTACATGCAATTAAACTATAAATATATACACACTAACATATATAATACAAATACAAATGAACCTGTTTTCCATGAATGCCGTGTTTATCGAAAGTAACGTTTCAACAATTTTGAAATTCATTTAGGGATTCTGCTTGTCTGATATTTCTAAGTATAGGCTGTTCCACAAGATCGCGCCACTATAACTAAAACTGTACATGTTTTTAAGATAATTTGTGCGGGGTATTGGAACAGCAAGCTTGTTCACAGAGTCTCAGTCTTAGTGAATATTTAATTACATCGTTACGATTTATGAATTTGGAATGTAAATATTCAGGAGTGAGACCGTGTGTAGACTTATAAACCATCAACGCTTTCTGAATTTGGCGTTGCGTATTTAGATTGTCCCATCCTAAAATTTCCATTATATGTCCTGCATCGGCGTGAAAGTTTGAAAGGGTTAATACTCGAGCTGCTCGGTTTTGTAATTTTTGGAGTTGATTGGCTAAGGTCTTTCCACAGTTCCCACATACGACGTTACAATAGTCAAAGTGAGGTTGTATTAGGGCTTGATAGATAAATTATAATGTTTCTGATGAAACAACAGACTTCAAACGCTTAATAACGCCGATACCAGAAATTACTTTTTTAATTATTTTGTCGATATGGTAACTCCAGGTTAGATTATGTTCAATTAAGACACAAAGAGATTTTGTTTTAAATACTCTTTTGATTAGAACGCTATCAAATTTTAAATTTTGACTTATGCAGTTAAAATTTTCACGAAGTTGTCATGATGAATACAACTCACTCGAAATGTAAACACAAGCGGGACAAAGAACCAAACAATTAATATTTTATTTATTTCGTGCGAGGAGATAGAAAAGAATAGAGATAGAGATTTGTGGATTTGGTCGCAATGAATATTTGAATGCGAGCTTATACAGTTTAAACGTTTGTCCATATAATTATATGAGACCAATTATCAGTCATCACGTTCAGCAATTGTTGCCATAGCAACGTAAATATTGTGTACTACATAATTTGTTACTAGCTTAATCACAGGACATTTTGCTACATCATCGGGGATATAACATTCAGTTTCAACAAAAGATTGTATGAGGAATATTTCTTTTTGCCCAATCAAAAAATGCTGTTTGGGGTTGATTTTGAAAACGACTTTTTTTAAAGTTTACAACCCTTGAAGTTTTACCGCTGATTTGAATTTCCCTTTCTCAACATTACCTTTTTTGCAAAGCCCCCTCCAGACGTACTTATAATATTCAATTACCAGACTTTACCGTTTACGTTAACGGAAAATGATGTCCGGTAAAAAAAGTTATTCGCGCCAGTTAATCTCAAGTCGAAGTTAAAATAAAGCGGAAAGCACTTCGTAACATGCAATAACTTATGTAACTATTTAGCTTTATTTAACTACTTTTTTCGCTTTTTTAATTAACCCAAAACCGAACAAGTTATTATTGAAAACTGAATGCAAGATTACTACGAACTCGATTTTTTTTCACTTGTGATATGTACACGTTTCTCGGGGGAAACTATGAAGTTTCTAAAGTCAAACCTTTCATTGTTGCTAATTCTATGATGAATGTCATTTTTCAGAGTGATCTATGGAAAGGTAGATTATGCATTTTATATTATTAGAGCGTATCCACGTTGATTTATAAACCGTTTGAGAACTTTGCTTTAGAGACAACATTCTCCTTTACCGCATTATATTTAATCCTCGGCGCTATACGACTGTTCATAAACTGCCAAGTAAGAGACGTTGATGCTTATTATGCAGCTCGCACTTACATAATTGTTGTTGAGTGTTTATAATAAGAATAAGAATAATTCATTTATGGTATGCATATGAGTATTTTCATTGCTACTGTTCTAAGCAAACCAATCGTTCAAAGTCCTGAAATAATTTCCAATATATCTTATAACCAAAGTTATGTACACACGCTACGTGCCAAGAAAGTATAGCTAGCCTCTAAGACATCAACTTGACCAACCAACACACGCTAGTTGAACAGTATAGCATTCGACTGATCTATGATTAAAAAAATTACTTAAAGCTGAGTCTATGAGCTTGAACGTGACAATCAGAAGCGCTTTTCCCCAAGCCCTTTAAAATTGAAGCTATTTTAGATGACGCATTGAATATTCTTCATAGTTTTAGATTATTTCATGATCACGTCGTTTAAAAATTTAGTTTGTGAAATAAGAGATCAAAGTTCGCTAGCGCCATGTGGGAAAAATAAACAAACTGTAACAATTAAGCAAACTACGTGCTCACGAGAATGATCGTCAGTCACGAGCTTTGCTCAATCATGTCGCACAATTAATCTCCATCTTGGCTAAACTGACACTCGAAAAATATCTGGCTATTGCAGCGCCGGTTAAATATGTGTGTTATGGCGCGCTTTTGTTTAATAATAACATTAACACACATCTCGATCTAGCTTTACCATAAAACATGTCAGTGTAAAACTTTGAAATATTTATGGACGTTGATACAGAATTTTTTGAAACAAGTGAAATAAATGAAATTATTTTTTATTACCGTATATTGTAAGGAAACGTTCAAAACAAAGTGTTGAAGCTAACCCATGTAATCTTTGTCATGATAACTGTCAAAGGCTAAAATGCATCTCATTGAAGCGCGTGTATGTCGATTACGTGGCTATATCAACTTAATTGAATTTTCAAATTTTCACGAAACACAGGCAACATCATATCTCACGATCATTTTCTATTGGTCTTTTCTTGGTCATAACTCGTATGAAAAATATCTTCCAGAATTACCGAGTCAGACAAGAAACGATTTAAACGATGTTTGTTGCGGCCAGCTTGAGCTTGCTGTTGCTTGCTATTGGAAACATTTCAGCAAACCAATGTTCCCCGACGAATTACGACACAATCATAAAAGGTGAGTATTGTGGAAAAAAGTTAGAGAAAAAATTAACCATTCAAACACCATTAAAACGTTTCATATGGTGAAATCAGTCCAGAATAAAACACATAATTTTAGTTGACATTTGGACATTAAAATATTTGTCTTTGAAGAATTTTGTTGAAATTTTTAGCAGGTCCATCATTGCCTGCGGATGAAATAATATCAAGACACAATGTTACATCTTCAGTTGTCATGTTGGGATGTCACACTCACTGCAAAGACGAAGACAAATGTGTTGGATTCAACTACAGAACAACAAAAAATGTTGAGAATTGCCAACTGACCAACGTTACTAGAAAGAAAGAAGAAACGAAACTGACCGGATATTGGATATTGATGATATTGATGAGAAATGTTGAAGCAGTAAGATTGATAAATTAAATGATATTTAAGAAAATATAGAAGAAATAATCCGTGTTTCTATATACAGTTACTTTTGACCATTTTTACAATATTACTGTGGTATGAAAATAAAAAACTCTGGGATATTTGTGAATAAATTGGAACAAATGAGACTATTTCAGTCATCAGGTGTGAAAATTATATAATCTGACTGTCACTTTTCAATCATTTTTGTCACAAAAACATAGATTTTGCACCAAATATATATTGCCAAACTTTGCACAAATAAGAGGAAGAAATATTAAATACATTCAAAACTTAAGACGAGATGGTTTGGAAAAAACTAAATTTTTACCTGAGTTTGTGTCGGCCTTTTCCATTTTCCCAGACGAAAGCGCCGAAAAGATTAATGAAAACATCACAAAAACGCCTTTGAAAGGCAAAACTTTCAAACCTGAAAACTATGATAACAACGATGAAACCAAGCTGAAAGGTATCGAAAAATACGTAAAACAAAGGCGAAAAACGGCATTTAACTCGGCGAATAGTTTTGTACTGCAAATAATACAAAATACTGTTTTTTTGCATAATAAACCTCGTTTCCATGCTCCGCGAAGGCGCGGTTACGAAGTTTTGCAATTGGTCTATAGGACGAGTTTTTCCTAGTGTTTCTATAAATATATAGAAACACGAGTACGGTAATAAATGTTTTCTACTTTATTTATCATATAACTCATTAAAAAGATTTTATACAATTGTCAAGTTCGGCAGGAAAGTTCCTGAGTTTCTATACAGTTATAGAAACACACTTCTTGACCAATCAGAAAGCGCGTACTGTAATATTATTTGGATGTCGTATATCAGTGAATTATTATGAAAATCCATAAACAAGACAAAGTGTAGTAGACAAGAACCAGCATGCGCAGAGTTTCCTAAACCGCCTACGGGCTATATCTCGTCGCCGTTCGACAGCAGTTTAAAAACTATACAAAAAATAATTATATTAACTATATACGTATGTTCGTACGCTATACCATATGTTCAAACACAATACTAATGTCACCTCCGTACCCACAGAACTTTAACGTGAGTATTTAGGGACTTGAAGTTGAATCCAGCGGTTGCTGTAAATACTCAGGACGCTAATATCTTTTGATTATATTAATTTTTATTCATTACATAGAAATTCGTCAATACCGTTCTACAGAGACGTGCTCTTTGAAGTGTTTAGTGGGGCTAAATTAATACAAAAAATTACAAGCCATTTTATAGCTCAGCTGGTGGTAAAGGCGAGGCAGAAAAACAATTAAGATTAGCAAAATATTTTTAGACAGTGTTACACACTAGGCGATCAAGTCTATTTCCCAACAGAATTTTATCTCTAAATCGTCAGTTTCGTCAGTTTCAGGCATTTCCTTGCCCGCCTACCAGAAACCACAAATTGTGCGCAAAACATTGGCGTGACTCGGCACTACAAATCCGTTCAACATGAAGCTAAAGATAATAATAACTGAGAACCTAAATTATTATTATTTACACAGCTGTGGTAGCATGCAAATTAATAGCACTGGTACCCAACCCACAAAAAACATTGTAAACAACATCCTTCAAACAAAGTCAGTGATATTTAACTGTTTTCATACTGCAAAACACAATCATTTCAATTTTCAAACGTTGATAGTTTCTTCATACCGATGATAAACATAGGCAAAATATAGACTACATAGAAATAAATTAATAATAAATCGTCACTGGACCTGCAAAAAGGTGTTGTTCAAAATTTGTTTACGATTTCGTTTGAAGAACGTCAAAAACCTGTCCCGAAGAAATTTGAACTTTTTGAAACTTGTAACTTTCGGCACAATTTAACTAACTTTAAATTAACCATGGTTTTGGCAGTTTTTTTTTGTTCTGCGAACAAGACTTGATTGCCTGAATCAAGCAATCCTTAGTGCAAGTCGATGTACGAATTTCAGAAATCCGTATACTGTAAGCAAGGTATATTGCTCGGTCAATTTGGTTAGCTTAATTAAATCAGTTTTCCGCCGCCCCAAATTTCGAGGCCTTTACGTCTTTTGTGATCAGATATTTTTATAGAAGCAATAACGTCAAAGATAGCAGGAGTGATTTACTGAAGTTTTCCTCGCTTTACTGATTATTTTATGTACAATTAATGCATGGTTAATGACCCTTCACACTCACTTCTGGCAAAGATAACCATATCGAGGACCCGCTTACAATGAACAAAATATTAAATCTGTAGAAAAAGTTCAATCAACGCACAACTTTCTGTTCTCATTACACAAGAAAATATTGTTATTAATAAATTGTTGTAATATATTTTCTCTATAACTGTGATTTTAGGACCACTCTTTATAAAATCTCTTTCTTTCTTATCCCCCGGATATTGTGACTGAACATAGCGGAGTCAAAAAGGTCATTATCATTGGATGGTTTTGTTAGGTCTGCGCATGTGCAAAATTTAAATGAGTGGAAACCATTCATCAGCAACTTTCTCATTAGCTGAGTAAGAAATTCCTATTTTTTTATAAAATTGTTTTTAAAAACTTCACGAAATAAAATGGGAAAAATAATAACAAATGCAATGAAAATCATCATGAAACATTTATCAAAAACAAAAAGAGTTGTTCTTCAAGAAACGAAAGCGAAAACGGTTTTACGCTCTATATAAAGCTTTGAAATGTTTTGTAATTGTTCATAATATTTCTGTGTTTGCTGTGTGAAGAGGGATGCAGTTTATTTATATGTGAGCTTTATACGTCGTTTTCCAAAGTCATATTGGGCTATGAAAGGCTTTTACACCATCGCTTTAATTTAGTGTCTCGAAGATTTCCTTGAATATCATTAATATATAATAGTATAATTTCTCGTGTAATTACGGGATAAACATAGAGTCGTGAGTCTTTAAAGACTATTAATACCACTCGTTCTTCGGACTCGCGCTGTTTTGAAGCCTTAAAATACTCACTCGTGCTTGTTAATCCGTAATTGCACTCGATATGATACTATAACTTATACTAATATATTTACTAATGTATAAAGAATAAAATCAATTTTTTAATAATTTCAGTATTTTTTTGTAATCAATTTTGTGTAGGCGAAGAAGGCGGTTGAAGAAGAAAATCTTATCAGGAAATCAGGTAATTTGCTTTATATTTATCAAAAACATCATAATTTTAAATTTTGGAACTTTTGGAATATCATTCGGCACAAAACTACGAGATTTTCAATATTAACTAAATTATTTTATTAACTATTATAATATTATGCAATGAGAATGTTTAAATCTTCTGTCAATATATGCGCCACATCAATGCAATACGTATCAATGAACCTCGAGCGGGACCTCTCAGTTTAATGAAGTTTTTGTTTGGGGTAGCGACTCGAACCCTAACCCTTAGCAAAAACCATGGCTATTCGCTAGCGAAGTAGAAATGCTGATCCAGCCGGTCAAGAAGTTGCTTGAAAAATTGTGAGACCAGTAGTCTAACTTCAAAAATAATATCAAAAAAAAATTTTTTCATGCTTGAGAGATCGTATTATAGTGAAAATTACATTGTCTTAATTTCGAGTGGGATTCATTCAATTAAAGCCAGGATGAGTTGAGGAAAGTGTGTTAAATATCGGTATTCTGCCAGGAATCGAATTAAGCTATACGCCTTTGCGACCCCGGTGCAATCTGCAATGCTTCTGCATCAGCTCAGGAGAACGGGTGGAGTTGGTGTGGATTAAGAATCGTAATTCCTGCAAGTAGGCGACTGAATCACTGAATTAAGGCTCTGTGTCCTAATTTTGAGTGGAAATGATACACACATTTATTTCAGACGTTCACGAGTGTTCTCTGGGAACTCACAAATGTCACTCAAACGCAACCTGCAATAACACCATTGGCTCCTACGAATGTCACTGTCACGGAGGATTTGCTGGAAATGGGAAAACATGCTTAGGCAAGATTATTTTAATCGACTTTTTAATATAGCTAGAGGTTCAAACCAAGTAGACAAAGTTATCGATATAAGCACTTCTAGTTCTATAGAATCTGGTACGAAATTGTTCTCTCTTATGAAATCGATTGTACCAGCATTCTTTTGACGGATAATTTCTTAAATGCAATGCAGTGCAATGCAATGCAATGCAATGCGTGAAGTTATATTAAACAATGTAAGTGGTCTTCGACTAGGCTCCTGACAAGATCGTTTATTTCAGATGTTGACGAGTGTTCCCTGGGAACTCACAAATGTCACTCAAATGCCACCTGCAATAACACTATTGGCTCCTACGAATGTCACTGTCGCAGTGGATTTTTAGGAAATGGGAAAACATGTTCAGGCAAAATTAATTATTTTACATTATATTAATTTTACTAACATGTTATACTTGTATCAGCTATACATTTTGTAGGCGTCAGCTATCCATTTTTAACGCAAGAATTTCTATCATATTATAATTATGTTTTATGAACTTTTTATCGTTCATTTCAGATGTTGACGAGTGTTCCCTGGGAGCTTACAAATGTCACTCAAACGCAACCTGCAATAACACTATTGGCTCCTACGAATGTCACTGTCGCTCAGGATTTGCTGGAAATGGGAAAACATGTTCAGGCAAGATTATTTTAATGACTTTTTATATTGCAAGAAGTTCGAACCAAGTAGACATGCAAAGTTATCGATATAAGCACTAAGTTTTCTAGCTGTAAGGAATCTGGTACGACATTGTTCCGTTATAGGAAGTCGAGTGTACCAGAATTCTCTTAACGGATAATTTCATAAATGCAATGCAATGCAATTCATGAAGATATATTAAACAAAATGTAAGTGGTCTTCGACGAGGCTCCTAACAAGATTGTTTATTTCAGACGTTGACGAGTGTTCCCTGGGAACTCACAAATGTCACTCAAACGCCACCTGCAATAACACTATTGGCTCCTACGAATGTCACTGTCGCGGAGGATTTTTAGGAAATGGGATAACATGTTCAGGCAAGATTATTTTAATCGACTTTTTTATATAGCTAAAAATTAGAACCAAGTAGACAGAGTTATGGATATAAGCACTGCAAGAGGTGAGCAATCTGGTACGACATTGTTCTCTCGTATGAAGTCGAGTGTACCAGCATTCTTTTGACGGATAATTTCTTAAATGCAATGCAATGCATGAAGTTATGTTAAACAATGAAAGTGGTGTTCAACTATGCTTACGTTGATTTTTTATAATTACGTTTATTTCAGAGGTTGACGAGTGTTCCCTGGGAACTCACAAATGTCACTCAAATGCCACCTGCAATAACACTATTGGCTCCTACGAATGTCACTGTCGCAGAGGATTTGCTGGAAATGGGACAACATGTTCAGGCAAGATTATTTTAATCGACTTTTTTATATAGCAAGGGGTTCGAACAAAGTAGACAAACTCATCGATATAAGCACTTCTAGCTGTAAGGAATCTGGTACGACATTGTTCTCTCTTATGAAGTCGAGTTTACCAGAATTCTTTTGACGGATAAATTTCTTAAATGCAATGCAATGCAATGCATGAAGATAAATTATATCAAAGTTCGAACCAAGTAGACATGCAAAGTTATCGATATAAGCACTAAGTTTTCTAGCTGTAAGGAATCTGGTACGACATTGTTCCGTTATAGGAAGTCGAGTGTACCAGAATTCTCTTGACGGATAATTTCATAAATGCAATGCAATGCAATTCATGAAGATATATTAAACAAAATGTAAGTGGTCATCAACTATGCTCCTGACAAGATCATTTATTTCAGATGTTAACGAGTGTTCCCTGGGAACTCACAAATGTCACTCAGATGCAACCTGCAATAACACTATTGGCTCCTACGAATGTCACTGTCGGAGAGGATTTGCTGGAAATGGGAAAACATGCTTAGGCAAGATTATTATAATCGATTTTTCATACGCAATTCAAATTTGATTCATTTTTCTTAACTGTTCCCTGACTGAATTTTAGTTGTGATTTCCTCTCAAAATGAAAAATCTCAAACCTTCTTTTTTTAATATCCTTAATCGAGTAAAGTGCCACAAAATCAATATAATTATATTTTTCTGGGGCGTAGAAAGAATCTCAATTTTTTCTTTGTGGCGCACAAGTTTCTAGAGGAACTTTTCAGTTAATAAACAGGGCAGCTAAAATGCGTATAATATGCATGGATGGTTTGGTTGCTGTGGTTTGTTTTTTTTTCTGAACAAATTTAAGATTAGAATGTAGACAATTTTTTGCGCTTAACACCAGTGGGGAAGGTTCTGGTTTATTTCGTAATAAAGTAGGCATTTTTAAAAGTTCATGTCTCACGCGCGGACAATTTAGAATATGACAAAATACGGAACCTGCCAAACGTAATCTTAATAGAACACAGTCAAGATACACACGAACTGGTCAATGTCCCAATGATATTTACGAATGATTGTTATTTTTTTGAGCAAAAATAGCATTTATAAGAAAATATAACAAAATATTTACGAAGGAAATAAGAAATTTATGTAATGTGATTTTATAAATAGACTACTAAGGCAAGGTGTACCCCCAAGGGGATACGCCTTGCCGACGATAATTAAAAATCTTATATTATGGGCTTTGCGTCCTATCTAAAAGACCAACAGGTAATGGATGGCACGCAATATGGGAAAGGTGGTGAATGGCCAGCAGCAAATCGAAAACTAACAAAGACCGAATACCCAAACCACAAACGGTCAGTTTAAGCGTGACATCGCAAAAGACAGAGCTCCTTTAAAGTTGAACCCACCTCCTCCCCAAAGCCACCGCTAAAAATTATGTACATTGGAAGATTTACCGTAACTGATATATATAGAGGGAGGAACGTTATATCTTAATTAGTGATGGTCGTAGGCCGTATCTACAGGTGCTGGCGGTAATTTGCCTCCACCCTTTTCTGAGCGTAAATATTTGGAATTTTAATGCATTGTATTAATAAATATCGTTTTGTTTAACAGAAATAAAGCGGCTAGGAGAACCATTACTCCTAGCCAAAATTATCCCAAAATGGCGTAAAATTTAATGTGTCTTTATTATGCTCAGAAAACTGAGCTGCGGAAAGGGTATGCAAAATTCATGGCTGGCAATATATCTATGCGTAAATAAATCACATTACATAAAGAGTATTTTCAGCCTAGAAATAGCATAACTACTAAGGCATTGTCAACATGAGATGTCTTATTTTGGATAAGGCATATCGCATTGTTTTTAAAAAACAAAAGGGCATTTTTGGTATAAACACACACCACCCCCCACCCCCCCCCCTTCGTGAAGTCCAACTAGGCAATTGTACTAATTTTCTTATGCTCTCACAGAAATTTCTTTTTTGCCTTAATCTGAAAGCTGAACCCAGAGAGGAGACGGAACGTTAAAAGCTATTTTATTTTCATTCCCACGGGAACTAATTCAAGAGGTTTTTAACCCGTTTACAATAAATTATTATTGCATTTATTAACCATAGGCCACTAAATTGTGATATAAATCCGTATTTTTTAGGTCTCCGCTGCGCTGATTTGTATGAAAAGGGAACGAATAAAAGCGGCATTTATGAAATTGACCCGGATGGAAAGGGAAGTTTCAAAGTGTTTTGTGATATGACAACATCAGGTGGAGGATGGACTGTATTTCAACGTCGTCTGGATGGAAGTGTTGACTTTTACCGAGGATGGCAAGATTACAAACACGGTTTTGGTAACTTTAGCGGAGAATATTGGCTTGGTCTTGACAAAATACAAAGGATGACAAATATTTCTCAAAATGAACTTCGTATCGACATGGAAGATACATCTGGAAACACCAGATACGCTCATTATGATTCATTTAATGTCAGCAGTGAAATTGAGAAGTACAAGTTGAATGTTAGAGGTTATCATGGTAAGCATTTTACACTAAACTGAGTCATATTTTAATAAAATTATAAGATAGTCCAGCTCTCTATACAATCAACTTTGCAGTGAACCATTAAATCCAGCATATCAAATATTGTATAAATTATAGGAAAATTATCAATGAGTGATCCATAAATATAATTGAAACGAGGCAGTTTTTGTATTAACTCGAGAAATGTAAAATATCTCCATTTTGAGAATTTGCTAAACTTTTAACAACAAAAAAATCTCAGGGCATTCGATTACGTGCATTATTTATTGCATTCCTATTCGTTCTATTACCATTATTTGCAGGACCCCACTGAAAAACACTATGTATAGGTGATGTGGGTAACCTGGTTAAGTATGATAATAATTGATTTATTTTTTTGCATTAATAAAGGTACAGCAGGAAACTCGTTGGGAAGACATGACGGAATGGCTTTCACCACCAAGGATTCTGACAATGATATTTGGGATGGAGGTAACTGTGGAGTGTTATTCAAAGGAGCATGGTGGTATTATGATGGTCATGAATCCAATTTGAATGGTTTGTATCGATATGGCCCATACAATTTGTCCGCTGATGGAGTCAACTGGAACCATTGGAAAGGCAATTATTATTCTCTGAAATCAACATCGATGAAGATACGACCACGTGAATTTGGAAAGAAGAAATAAAGATGTTGAACAATAAAAAGTCATATTAAGGTTTACTTTACAAAACGTGTAGTGCACTAATACGTGTCTTGTTAGTTTTTCAAAATATTTACAATAGAGATTCTTTTCCTATCATTAGCTTAACCCGTAGTTAATAGAATATACACAGTTTGGAGACTAAATAAAATTACAATACAAGTCATTAAATATGTTATTGTCCAGGTTTATGCAAAAAATTATTCCTTTCTCGTCACGTATCTATTGTATTTTAGCGAAACTTACCAATGGCATTCGTCTTGCAAAGCTCATCAACCCGGATTTAAAAAATATGTTAATTATCGTTTAATGATGAAGAAGAGAGCAGATGCATGATTAAATTTGCGTGCCTGATATTTCTACAACTGAGGAGGCTTGTCCCAGACTTAGTCAGCGAAACCTGTTAAAATCTTTAAAATCTAAACCTAGATTAGTTTAACCAGTGTTAGCCGGGAGATTAGTAAGTTGACACACCTGGCGATCGAGGTGGGTTAAATTTAGCCCATGGGTTAGCACGCTAATCCGTTTTGAACAACGCAATAAATTATAACATCACGGGATGAAATTTATCTCTAGCTTAAGCCATTTTAGCCTGCCTTTGAACAACCAGCCCGGCTGTGATGGTCAAAAGAGGTTTAAAAGAGGTTTTGGTCATAAAAACATTCTCCGCACATAACTGAGGGTGGAAAGGTGTATAAATTAGCATCCTGTGCATTTTTGTTAAAATATTTTGTGATTAAATATTTCATTATCGCTTCAGGAAGAATTGAGCGGAATCCGTGATTTTAGTATTCTCTAGCTCACAGTCATATATAAGTAGGTGATGACTTTTAAACCTTTATTTATTTTACGTTGACACATACATAAATTGGAAAGGGATGGCTGATCGGGAAAGCAGAAAAGATGCAAATCTAAATATTACAAACAGAATTTAGAGAACCTACAGGAAAATGAGCCAAAAAAGTGGTGGTCGGAGTGTAAGAGACGGTGCATGTGGAGTGTCTAAATCACCAACGGATGATTGTGTCGAAACTGCTTCCCGCCACTTCTGGATATTTCCCTTCAAAGCCGCAACAAAACAAAACCCAGCAAATAAAATTAACAATGCCTTTATCGAACCCCAATAAACTTATATACCCCTGTTCCCATATAAAAGACTCGATGCCATAAATGTCGAATAACGTTTAATCTCCCTTCATGTTGTAGAAAAACAACTTAGTACAGTAAATATATCAAAAGCACGTGCGCCTAATACTATACCAAATTGGATTCTTAAGGAATTCCCACATATTTTAGCAGAACAAGTATGTATGTTGATCAACTCATCAATCACTGAGAAAAGCCTTCCGAGGTATGGAAAAGTGAAAATGTTACAGCTATACCTAAAACCAAACTTTGGAAGACATTAACAAAGACCTAAGAACTATATCATTGACACCCACCGTTAGCAAAATTTCCGAGGAGTATGTTGTCAGAGATGACAGAGAACATGTAAAGCCTGCTATTCTCAATCGGATTAGACAACACCTGTACCATTGTATCCCTGATTCCTCTACCAGTCACGCTCGTATAAATCTTGTTCACAGCTGGACTAGTACTAAAGCCACCGATGACAATTAAGCTAAAGTACGAGTTCTTTTCCTGGATTTCAGGAAAGCCTTTGACTTAATAGACCATAATATCTTAATATCCAAACTATCAAATTATGGAATCAATCCCCATATCGTGAACTGGATCTTCGACTTTTTGAGCAATAGATAACAAAGGGTTAATGTAGCCAACGATTGTTTCTCGGAATGGAAATCGGTACCAGCAGATGTTCCCAAAGGGACAAAACTGGGTCCCTGGTTATTTATAGTTATGATAGCGGACTGCAAGATTAAGTCATCAAACGAAGTGTCAAATATGTAAACGACACTACTAGATACGAGATTATTCAAAAGAGCTCACCAAGTTCAGCCAGTTGTTAGTAAATGAAGTAGAAGAGTGGTCACAAAGTAACAAATTCGAATTAAATGTTAAAAAATGCAAAGAAATAACTATTTCCTTCTCAAAAACCATTCCCCCTTTGGAGGACTTGCATATAAAAACAAACCCCATCGAATTGGTCACTTCTTTCAAGCTCCTAGGAGTGACATTACAACAAGACTTGAAATGAAATACCCATATCGAAAACACTATTAAGAAAGCGTCCGAGAGTTTTACTTTTTATCACATTTGAAGCGTGCAAAAGTGTCTTCGAATGACCCGATCAGGTTTTATACAGCTTTTTGAGAAAAGACAACAAATATGCAATACTCTCTTTGAGAAAGTGATAAGAAATGAATTATTAAATACCTATGGGAGGTTTAGACATCATCTACGTTCTGTTTACAACGGCAAAACGTCGTTTATTACGTCCTATGTAGAACGTCTGCATTTCAGGACCCAGTGAGCGCTACTTCGAATTTAGGCTCTATAGAATTGTCCGTAAACGTAAACACAATGTTTTCAACGTCTTATATCTCTCATTAAATTAGTACAGTTGATAATATAGAACAACTCTTTACCATAACATTTATTTAAAGGAGTATTCCAACCACGTCGTCGTCGTGTTGCCCTCCTACATGCTTAAGGTCCCTATTCAGGATTCACAAACTTCGTTATCCACACTTTGTTGAGTTTCTACGTCGAAACGACTAGTCTCGCATTGTTCACCACCCCAAATATTTTATTGGTCGCCAGCATACTTCCATGATCTCTTTTTTTTTCGATGCAAAACTTTTGGTTTGGTCTGCATGTTTTTTCTTATCCGATACACCAGATCATTCAGTCTTTTACAACAGTAAACGGACTCTCGATCTCAGGGCCTCGTCATCTTGGATGAACTTCCTTTCTTTCGTCGAGAGTTTAACAGCCAGACAAGATCATCCTTTTTCAAAGGGTTTGCACTAGTGTCGTTATTATGTTTCCTCAATTTCTCGTAGCTTAATTCCAAGTTCCTCTTCTTCAGGAGATCCATAAACGAGATCAACTGGTACACGAACCTCATGCCTAACATCATATGTACGTGCAAGGGTAAATCCAGTTGCTTTGTGCCGAGCTTTCCTATATGCCATTAGAAGGAGAGGTACATATTACTTGTCCCAATCACGTTGATGCTCTTCCACAAACAAAGATAGTTGTGTCTTTAAAGTTCGGTTGTATCTTTCCACCATCTAATCTGATTCTTGATGGAGTGGAGTTGTCCTAGTTTTATGTATACCTAGCAGTGTGCACATTTCCTGGAATACCGTCGACTTAAAAGGTATTCCTTGGTCAGAGTGAAGCTCGAGTGGAACACCAAATCTGCAAACAAACTCGTTGACCAGAACTTCTGCGAATGGCATAAGCCTCAGGCCACTTCCTGAAATAACCCATAACGACTAACAGGTACCGACCCTCTTATCCATCACATTAATTGCAATCCTTTCAATAGGGCTACGTACCGACCAGATATCTCCCCAGACGTGCTTTTTGTCGCCGACCTGGTCCTTTTTTTGATGCGCGAAGAGCACAACGCGCCAATTTTCACATTTTCACAACACAACATTTTCACATCTAATTGACAATACGGCCAATAGAAAATTCTTTTACCTGTTTCAGTGTCTTCGCTACCCCAAAGTGTCACGCCACAGGATAATTATGCAGTTGCGTTAGAATCTCTTCGCGCAGACACTTAGTTACAATGGTACAATTAGCTGCAATCTCACTTCTTCACCGTCTGTGGGCTCCCATTTCCTATACAGAACGTCCAACTTCACAATTAGTATTCCACTGCGCCCAACATATTTTGGTGACTTCGCAACGACTTGTCTCCCTGACTATGCATCTGGTATTGATTTTTATGAGCTTGTTAATAATACAGATCACGATCTTGAAAATGTCCGTAAATGGATGTTACAAAATAAGCTTCAAATTCATCCAAAAAAAAGACAAAACACATGTTTATCGGATCATCTGTTAACATAACGAATGAAATTGTTCAGACCCCAATTTTAATCTATTTAACATCGCTTGTGTCCCGATTGAATCCAACGAACTCAAAGTTAACACTCTCTCCACTCAAAAAATATGTTTTTCACTAAACTTCAATTATGGTTGTTAGCTTTAGAAATTTGTGTGGGAGAGACCACGCTTTCTAGGCGGCTATAGTGAGTGAGAGTGACGTTTAGGAATACAGACGTAATTAAGCCTCGTAAGAAAATTTATCCCCTTTTACAAGCCCCATTAAAGTTAAAGAGTCTCCTACAAAAATATATTTCGGATTAGGAAGTCTTAAAGTGCTGCGATTTCTAAGGAAATAAGAATAGTCGAAATCTTTTCTTTAAATGTATACATTTAAAAACGGAAATGACAAATCAATGACATTAGACGACACTAATTGGTTCTGCTTAGAATTCTCCTTAGAATTTTCAAAATTATGAAGAGCTTATAATATTAGCAGTGGGAACAACGACCACGGCAGAGAATTGTAAAAATAATTTTTCCATAAGCTTTTCTGTACTTTATATGTCTTATTCCATAAATGAAAGCATTCACAATTGAGTTTATTCCATAAAACTCGAAGTTAAAAACCACGAACCAAATCTGTCGGCATGAATCATTGCAATAATTGTATACCACGGACCCGATAACAGTTGGTGAAAAACAACAGATCGCCAATACTCTAATAACAATAAGAAATGTTTTCACTTCTGTAAACGCCTAAAATAGACGAAATATAACCCTTGTCCTGCTTGGCTGTTCGTTGTCGTTGCTGCAGACTGCGACCATTGATTCATCAAAGATTCGTTTGCGTTGTTTCCGAGACACACGTAAAATTTGGAAGTTAAGAAAGAATATTAAAGCCAGGTAAATAATTATAGAGATATGGAACTGCCATAAAAAAATAAATGTAATCAGATATGTAACAAATGCTTCCGATTCTATGGTCGTACCTCCTAAGGTGGAGATGACAAATAGCGTAAAGAC